TATGAATTTTGTTGTACAGGAAATACTATAATTTTGTTAATATTGTCAACCTGAATGATGGAATGAGCTAACATGTTTTTTATGTTGTTATTATATAAACGTTCTTTTTATCAAACTTAAATACTGTTGTTTTTGGATGGGTACAGTCCAGAGAAGCATAAGATCAGTGTATATTTGTTGAAAGTTTGAAATAATATAATGTCATACTCAGTCAGGGGTGAAATCCTCAAATAAAAGTAGAGGTATTCAGCTGGGTTAAGTGGACCTGTTTTTTGAAAAAGAAAAAAAAATCTACATGTAAACAAAAATCTACAAAACACCTCCAGTAAGTCCTGGTACTAGTACCTCCTTAAAAAATAAGTTCTGGTAACAGTACTGGTGAGTACTGGCAGAATTTCACCTCTGGTTATACCTAAAAAAATATAAATTATTTTATTAGTTAAGTTTATGGAATTGTATTAAGAGGTTTGATTTGTTAAAAAAAAAAGTCATATTTGTCATATATCAAATTTTCTATACATTTTTAATTTCTGTTTACTTTTTAACAATATTCTCAAGTGCTGTCCAGTTGTAACATTGCAGGCATATTAAAATAAATGTCTATCCTTGAGCCCATTATGTTTTCACACCTTAACAAGCAGCTGTTCTGAGTATAAACCTATTGTAAAAAAGTGTTTTTGCTACAACTTACCTAAAACAAAATTTTATTCAGCAATTCTGAACTTGCTGCTTATTTAATTACTAGTTTATATATATTAATGCAACTTAATGTAGTATATCAAGATGTTTATGTACTTATGTATTTTGTTGCACTCCAGTGCTGCATATTTGTTTGTTGTTTTTTTATACGCGTATTTGTGATAATTTATATCAATTAAAATGTCTGTTACATTCATTTATGAAAGAGAACCTGTATCTATATATTAGAGGAGGTTACGTTTGCTTGTAGAAAAAAAATCACACTCATTTACTCATGGAATCTTGCATCCAATTTATTTAAGGGAAGGTACATCAGTTAGTTAAGGCAAATTTGTGACCATTTATGTAGATGGATTAACATTTATCTAGGAGAAAATACAATTTGGACTTAGGGCTATTTATTTAAGAAAAATTGGTCACTTATTCTAAGATTGTTTTGATCAAGTACCAGTTGTAATTAGCTACTTTTTATTGTTAAATACCACTTACTCATTAACAACTTTTTTACTGACACACCAAACAAAAGTAAGTTTAAAACAAACCGTTGTTACATATGGCAGGTGTTTATCCATATGGTTTTATACTCATATTTTAAAACTTAATTTCCTTTTATGTGTTACTAAGTAGGTTGTTAATTTACCCAGACTTTGTCCTTTATATCCTACATTAGTAACCTGCTACCATTTATAGGAAAGTCCTAAGAACGGCACTTTTCTGTAATGTCCAGAATTCATGAATCACCTGAACAGACAATATAACAGAACATAATAAACTCCCATTCCTAGATATGATGATTAACATATACTACAAGAGGTCCACAGAAACTGGTAAATACCTTGATTATAGATTAAACCACTCCAACAGTGTAAAGTTGAACTTGGTAAGCTATATAGTCTCCAAAATGAACAGTGTTTGCATATAATACAAATATGCTAAGAAAAAATTTCACTGCAGTATCTCTTTACGGTGGATACTTGTAAGAGTACATAAATATAAGATAAACAACTAAGAATATACAGAAATAAAATTACAGACACATAACCATATTACTCTGTGTCAAAGTTTTTCTGAAAATATGCAAAGAGCATAAAGTCCGACAAGTAATGAAAAGTCACTGCACAATAAGACTGCAATCGATATCAAAAACACCATTCTTGTGAATGTGAACTTCAATATATTGAAGAAACACAAATACCGATAAAAGGCAAAACTCTGGTGCATAATAAGAAAACAAATCTACTACAGTAAATCATGATAGAGGGAAAGATTATTCCTTAAGATGGAATGTTACAAAAATAATGAGATGTGACCTATAAAAGAAGTCTTCTACAACAAACTGATAACCCCCTTTAGTCAAACTAGCAAGGAAGTTATCAAAACCTTCTCTTGAAACTATTCAAATAATTGTTTCACATCCAAGTGGAATGAGAGCTTTTCTAAAAAGATCTAGGATTGAATCTTGGCTCCTGCTACCATTTACGGTACTCCCTATAGTAGCTGAAATGTACAATATAAAAAGCCCCCCGTGGGCACAGCGGTATGTCTGCGGACTTACAACGTTAGAAACCGGGTTTCGATACCCGTGGTGGGCAGAGCACAGATAGCCCATTGTGTAGCTTTGTGCATAATTACAAACAAACAATATAAAAAACTAATTAATATCTAGTGACAAATGAAAGTAAACCAGTAATTAGATGTAAATAGTTGTATGGGTTACTTACTATCACAACAAAGAGAAGTTTATTTGTTTAGGGGGAGTTGCGGTAATTTACCTAAGGAAAGTCTCGTCTGTGTATTTAGAAAACTGCATTCATCTAGCTGAACAAAGTTGCTTATCATGAAGTAGTTATATCTTATTATCTAAAAAAATACATCCATTCTCTCTTTATCATGTGAAAGTGACATTTATTTAGTTAGAGAAAGGTAGATTTAATAAGGAAATTTTACATATTTGTACTTTGTAATACACTTAATTTCCACAATCACTTTAACTTCAACACACGCTACAATTCACAACGATTCACGCACTTTAATTAAGGTCACTACCGCTCGCTTAACTCAATTATCTGTCTCTTTTTCTGTCTATCTGCAATTATATCTCCGCTTTATTTGCCGGGCTTATATACTAAAATAGAAGGCGGCCTAGAAAAGTTTGTTTCTTTTTAATTAAGCACAAAGCTACACAATGGGCTATCTGTGCTCTGCCCAGCACAGGTATCGAAATCCGTATTCTAGCGTAGTAAGTCTGCAGACATACCGCTATGCCACTGAGGGGCGCCTAGAAAAGACTAGAGTTGCCAGGAACAGTCATGATCCTTCTAGAAATTCCAGAGAGCTTTCTTTCCAACGTCACGTGGCTTCCGCTGTCGTAACAATATAATAGAATTTTCTTAAAATACAAAATTCATCACTCACTACAACATACAAAGCACCCAGTTCCACTTTATCAAAATTTATGTACATTTATGCAAATATACAAACTATGTCGGATAAATTCCTACATAATTATTTCGCGAAAAAAGGCAAAC